ATATGTGCTAGAGGTGGGCTTAGGTTGTTACAAATGATATCTACGCCAAATATCGAGCGATATGCCAACGAGGACGCTGGGCATCGAAGGAGTTGGATTGTCAGATCCCACATCCCTAGCAGACACATTTTAAAAACTTTGAAGGAAAGCTCGAAGAGGACAATATCGACTAGCGGTGAATTTGAACTGTCACAGAGAGGTGAGGAGTGATCGGTAATTTGATGTTTTGTTGGTAATGAATTAGTGGCATTTTCTCCACAATAATTTATGCAATTATTACCTAATAATATATAGTGATTTAAATGATTATGTTTAAAATAAGGTTTTTTCTTGAGCTATTATTATTATTATTATTTAAAGATAAGATAAGGCTCTCTTCATGTTATGGGAAAAATAAGAAACAATTACCTTCCGAAATAATGGGAAAAATAAGTAAATTTAAGATATGGACACTTCCACGACCAACCCGTTATTCTTCTTATGTTATGGGCCTCAAAGCCCTGAAAATGGCCCAACTAAGATTGGTCCAATTCAAGCCGGGCCCATTTCACGCTATGTAAAGCCCACAGTGCACCATCATTTCTACATAGCCCAAATAAGTACACTGGGTCGGCCCAACTAAATTTATATATCATAACGTGTCAATTATCGATGGGTTATACTCATATTTGTTAAAATTTTATTTAGAGATTCACGAAAAAATTGAGAAGTAACCAATCTGTCGAAGAGATCGGACATGCACGACAATACCATCCCCACCATATGGGAATCCTCGGTAACCTGGGTAACTTACCGTTCAAGGGATAAGGAACCCCCATAAAGCGTTCTATATTGCATAGAATGGTATAAATTCTTGGTATTTTTAAATATTGTTGTTGTCCAACGTTGACTAATTAAGTAGAAGTTCGAAGGTAAGAAATATTATCTCAATTAATAGCATTTTTTAAAACTTTTTAAAAGTAAAATATATTTTCAAGAAATTTTTTTAATAAAATATTAATAATTTACTACCAAAACATTAGTGATATATTTTTTAGATTTTTTATTGAAGTTTTTAAAAGTTGAATAAGTGAAAAAATAAGAGTTATTTATTAATTTAAATGAAATTTATATTTCTTAAAAAAAAAAAAAAAAAAACTTTTTGAAGTATTCTATTATGGGATGTATGCAATTACGATAATGTACACGAATAAAGTTTTGAGCTTTCTCACGCGCGCGTGGAGGTTTATCGGACTCATTCGTCGATCTCCACATTTTTCACTTCAGGAACTCTCTTCCTCCAGACGGATTTCAGATCAAATCGAAGTCGTCTTCGTAATTACTGCCTCGATTTCAGAATCAAGGTTGGAAACGGATAGATAATCATGTCGACCGCCGCCGTGATCGCACATTCTAGCTCCTGGTCTCGTGCTCTCATCAACATCTCTCCCTACACTTTCTCCGCCGTCGGTATCGCCATCGCCATCGGCGTTTCCGTCCTTGGCGCCGCCTGGTGCTGTCTCAACCCTATATGATTTCGTTCTCTTTGCGTTTTTATTGATGAATGTTTATTTTGTTAATCCCTTTCTGAACGATGAAAATTTGCGCGGTTGCGTATTTTGTAGGGGGATTTACATTACGGGAAGCAGTTTGATTGGTGCTGCGATCAAAGCTCCTCGCATTACTTCGAAGAATTTGATCAGGTGAAGCGCTAACTCTAGTTGATGAATTGTTCATTTTCCTATTGATTGGATTACTTCTTTTGAGACGGTCGGGTTGGGATGTATAATTAGGGATTCTTATTGCTAAATTCTTGCACTTATACAACTAAGAGCGACGAAACTCCAAGGTTTCATTTCATTACTTTGTTTAATTTTGAATCAATTGGAACAGAGTTGAACACAAGCCTTGAATTTTTGAAAAATAAATTGTAATTCGTCCAACAAAGTCCAACCAATTTCAAGAACTTAGCTACATTTTTCTGGCCATTATTTTGATTACAACAATTTGAATGCTGTGTTATTTCAGTGTAATTTTCTGTGAAGCTGTTGCTATATACGGTGTCATTGTTGCCATCATCTTACAAACCAAGTTAGAGAGTGTGTCAGCGTCTCAGATTTATGCCCCCGAGTCTCTAAGAGCAGGATATGCAATCTTTGCATCTGGAATCATAGTTGGCTTTGCTAACCTTGTCTGCGGGTTTGATATCTTCTCTCTTACTTGGTTTATTCAATCAAAATCCTCGAATTTAGCTCTTCTTTTTCGTTTCATTCTGATTGTTTGCTCTGAATCTTTTCTGATGCTCTGTTTCAAGGCTGTGTGTGGGAATCATTGGAAGCAGCTGTGCGTTATCAGATGCCCAAAACTCCTCTCTTTTTGTGAAAATTCTTGTAATTGAGATCTTTGGCAGTGCGCTTGGGTTGTTCGGAGTGATTGTTGGGATAATTATGTCAGCTCAAGCCTCTTGGCCTGCAAAGACAGGTTGATCTACCTCTTCGATTTTGAACACGAGCTCAAAGTTCGATTACGATGAAGAGGGTAACTTGTTTTTCTTCCCTTGAGCCTAGTTGTTTGCCCCTTCATAGATAATGATTGTTCTTGTAAAAGCTAGAGTGGGGAGTTTGTATGCATTTTTTTATTGTTTGGGTTTCAATCCTATTCCCTAGGAGAACCATTCCATCATTCTGATGTTGGTATTAAATATTTCTTCTTCTGATTCCTTGAAAACACTTGAATCGTTCAATAAGTTATGTTGTAGGATTGCTTCTTTTCTAGCTTGTATGACATTTTCTTGCAAAATCTGTGTTCAGTTCTTGAATCGTTTATTAAACATTGGCATCTTTACATTTACTGTTCCTTTTCTGGATTGTAGTCTCTCGATTGAAGATCATCCTTTATAGCTTTTTAGCTACGGTATGCATCATCATGTATGCAAAGAAACACAAAAAGATTCACCATGAAAATGTACAAGTTTGAATCTGAAACACGAGTATTTCTAATCGAAGCAGGTACTTATATCTTACAATCAAATTGATGCGAAATCTGGGTAGCTACACATTCTAATCGAAGCAGGTACTTATATCTTACAATCAAATTGATATAGAATTCTCATTTGGTTAGGTATAAAGGTTCCACATAACTCATTCATGATTAATGATGCAAGGGCTCGACTTGAAGCTGATTTATTTCATACGATTCAGTATACTTTTTAATCATACAATGTATCAAGTACAATTAACTGCAGCCAGAGAGACTAGCTTCCAACCAAAAAACCTGTCTTGAATGCATACTTCGGCTTTCTGCACATTCTTGACTATATAGGCTTCCTGGTCGTATCAATCAATTGAGGAACATCATTGAAGAAAGGAATGTTTTTCTGTTGAAGTTCTTGGCAGTTATCTGGCATATCTGCCTTCGGGTCGTCGAAGGGTTCACGGTCAGGAAGAGTCAAACCTTGCTTAAGCCTACCCATAAACCTAGAATGCAGGACTTGCTTCGAGCTGACAGGTAGTCGAACGGATTGATATTCTGCGAGGGCTGTTTGTAAGTTCTCCAGTCCCCATTTCTCAAGGCATTTGCCTAAAACAGCTGCATCTAATATGGACATGTTTGTACTTCTCAAGCCATGAGGAGTTGTGGGATGAGCTGCATCCCCAACCAATACTACATTGTCCCAAACTAGTCGTTCCAATGGATTTCTATCATATATGACATTGATGAAAGGCTCTTTTGTTTCTTTGATGACACTTGCGAACTCGGGAACCCAAACCTTCTCTGCTTGTTCATGCATCTTCCTCACCATCTCATCGTGTACTTTCATGGTCAGCGACTTACCCTGCATTCATTTTGCACGTTCGCATCAACCGATGCAAACTAAAGAACTATTGTATTGAACTTTACTCAGAAAAAAGGCCATCATAATCACATTTGGGCAATCAATTACCTTGAGTTGTGGCTCTGGTTGATTGATATACCAAATCCAGTTGATCTTTTTGTTTGGAAGCTCATAGAGAACAATGTGAGTGCCAGATCCCAAATCAAAATACAAGCATTTCCCAAGATCAGGATATGCCTTTCTGATGTCGATTATCGTCTCCGAATTCTCATTCTCAGAAAAATCAAGGACTCCTCTCCAAGCACAATAACCAGAATATCTACACAAAACAATGAAATTGCTATTTGTCAGCATGAACATATACTTTAGCATTCTGCTCCATTTTCATGTTCATATACCTCAACTGAAAGTTGGGAAGAAAGGTTTGAAGCACAGAAGAAAGACACCCATCTGCCCCAACAAGCAAATCCCCAACTATTTCAATAATCTCGTCAGTTTGCAAAACTCTTGCTGCTATTTTCACAGAAGATTTATCCTCAGATGTGCAATAAGAGAGGAATTGGTGACCCCATAGAAATATATCAGGAGGAAGCTCATTGTAGAGAAGGCCATGGAGGTCAGCCCAATGAGCTGCTCTGAAATTGAAATTCTCATCCCTAGTTAAAATCCTCCTGCCTTTAGTTTCCTCATCAGTTGCTTGATTCTATACAAATTGAACAAACCCTAGATAAATCATGAACTGATAAAATTCTTCGAAATGGAGAAATTCGAAACAATTCGATTCGATTCGAAATTTACCTGATCGAATGTGAGAGGGAGAGTGGATTGGAGGAGAAGTTGAGGCTTGGAAAGCCATGACTGAATGAGGCTCTGAGAGAGAGGATCGAGACCGAGGCCGGCGCCGGTGGAACTTCCGGTCGGGGGAGAGGTTGATTTTTTGAGTATCTGAACTTTCCAGCCGGCCTTAATCAAAGCGTGAGCGCAGGATATTCCGGCAATGCTACCGCCGACGATGACTGCTTTGGGGATTCTGTTCTTCCCATTCATCGTTACGTTCTGTAACTGCCAAACAGAACAGGGAGGATCAAGAGACTTTTCCCTGTTTGGGGAAATATGCGCTTCAGAAATCGAGGAAGTGTGCCTGGCACGTGCGGCTTGTGCAAACAAAAGATATTTTCAGCCTTTCACCAAACCACTAGACATATTATTCCTAGATCAGATCAATCCCTTCAGGAACATCATCACAGAATGGTGTGTTTCTTATTTGAAGCTCTTGCAGGTTTTCTTCAGCTATATTCGGGTCGAAGACTTGGCGGTTGGGAAGCGCCAAGCCTTGCTTGATCCGCCCGACGTGCCGGGAATGGAGGACTTGCTCAGAAATAATAGGCAGCCGGAGAGACTGATACTCAGCAAGAGCTGAATTTAGATCTTCAGCTCCCCATTTCTGAAGGCATTTGCCCAAAACAGCTGCATCTAATATAGACATATTCGTGCTTCTCCCACAATGAGGAGTTATTGGATGGGCTGATTCTCCAACCAATACCACATTGTCCCAAACTAGTTGTTCTAATGGATCACAATCATAGATGGCATTGATGAAAGGATCTTTTGTTTCTCGAACGACGTTTGCAAACTCAGGAACCCAAATCTCGCTGGCTTGTTCGTGCAATCTCCTCGCCATCTCCTCGTTTACTTTCATTGTCATTGATCGACCCTGCATTTGTACACGTTGGTTCCAAACTCCAATTAACCAATGAATATGCTAAAGAGCTGATGTAATAGAACTCGAAACCAGAAAACCGAACGGCACAATTGTATTTAATACCAAAAGGGAACGTAAGCATTCAATGGAAGTAACCAATCACCTTGATTTGAGGTTCTGGTTGATTCACATACCAAATCCAGTTGATCTTCTTCTTTGGAACCTCAAACATTCCCATATGAGTTCCAGATGCCAAGTCGAAATACAAGCCTTTACCAAGTTGAGGATAAGCCTTATGAATGTTGATCTCGGACTCTGAGTTCTCATTCTCTGAGAAATCAAAAACCCCTCTCCAAGCATAATAACCTGAATATCTACAATCAAATTCAAGTTATGAATAAGAAAATGCAGCATGCTTTAGACTTCAAAACGAAACAACACTACGACTACGAATGTAGGAAAACAATGGGGAAGCAAAAAATTTGAACTTCTCCTCCATTTTCGGGCTTGTTTGACATGAGTTTTTGGATGCTTAAAAACGGTTCTAAGCACCTGAAAAGTGTGAAAACAATGGGGAAGCAAAGAATTTGAACTTCTCCTCCATTTTTGGGCTCGTATGAAATGAGTTTTTGGATGCTTAAAAACGGTTTTAAGCATTTGAAAAGTACGAAAACAATGGGGGAGAAAAGAATTTGAACTTCTCCATTTTCGGGCTTGTTTCAAATGAGTTTTTGGATGCTTAAAAACGGTTCTAAGCACTTAGAAAGTCATTCCGAACACTTTTTTTGGTACTTAGAAAACCCATTTATTTTACAGACCTCAACTTAAAGTTGGGAAGAAATGCTTGACGTATGGAAGAGAGACAGCCATCAGCTGCAACAAGCAAATCCCCAACTATTTCAACAATCTCATCAGTTTGCAGAACTTTTGCTACTATTTTCACAGACGCTTTGTCGTCAGATATACAGATAGAAAGAAAAAGATGACCCCAAAGAAATATGTCAGGTGGAAGCTCATTGTATAGAAGGCCATGAAGGTCAGCCCAATGTACAGCTCTGAAATTGAGATTCTCATCATTAGTCAATATCCGTCCCGTCTTGCTTTCTCCATCAATAGCCCGATTCTATTAAAACAGATGCTGGATGAAAGAATTAACAGACTATTTTATTTGAAATTCAACTCAAATGCATCAAAATCGACGACAAAACTATAACAGTTTCTCGTTCAATACTCGAATTGAAACAGATTGAAGATAAATTTCGCCATCCAGATTCGATCAAATACACATCAGAGGACACAATTATTTACTGGTAGCATAAACCTTGCCCTAACATTGAAATCACTCTGTTCAAATTTCACAAACGGAGAAGACAGAATGGTCTTCCCCAAGTAACGATCAATATCAGACATCGGCGTAAGAAAATTACAAGGAAATGATAGGGAGAGATTTTGACCTGCTCCGTCCCTAGAGGGGAAGTGGATTCGACGAGAAGTTCAGGTCGGGAAAGCCACGACTGGATGAGTCTCTGAGACAGAGTGTCAAGGCCGAGTCCGGCGCCGGTGGAACAACCGGTCGGCGGAGTGGGGGTTTTATCGAGGACTAGAACTTCCCAGCCTGCTTTGATCAGAGTATGGGCGCAAGAAATTCCGGCTATACTCCCTCCAACGATCAAGGCTTTGGGCTTCTGCTTCTTCTGGAGCATGGCTTTGTTCGTTGATTTGGGCGCTAGAGATGAAAGCATCATCATCGCGAAGAAGTCGACTTAAATTTTTATTACGTTAATAATCCAAACCTTATAAACCCTTTTTCTTATTAAAAATTATCTTTAAAATTTTTTATAAAATTTCACGAACATATTAATTTTTTTTTAAATATATATATATATATAAAAAAAAATAATATATATATATATATATATATATATATATATATATATATATATATATATAATTAGTACTATATTTAAAAAAATATTTATGAAATTTCATACTTAAAAAAAATTAAAAATTTGAATATAATCTACAAATATAGACAAATGTTTTGTCTAATAACTTTTTAAATTTTTTCTTTAGTTATTTTTAAAATTTAATGGATATTAGTTTTTTTTATTTTTTTTAAAAAATATTAATAAAACATTCTAATTTTAGAATTTATTAAAAGTTTAATAATATTAACAATTTTTTTTTGTTATTTTTTTAATTTAACATAAAAAAAATATAGTATATGGAAGGAAAATTGGCGTATTTTTCAACAATTCCTGATAATTTCCCGGGTCGGGTAAATGGGCCGAAAAAACGAATGGATCAAAGCCCAATTGACGGTCTCGGAGAAAGGAAGATTTCTACCCATCGTGTCCAATTGATACGAGCGGTTCCATTTCGTCTCCGCCAAAGAAAGTTTCTGTAGCTGTCTCCCTCTGAACCTTCTTTATTTTTTCTTCATTTTTTCTTCATTGAAAAGCTATGGGGGAGGTGCGCGAAGTATCAATTTCGCTCGACGGAGTGAGGGACAAGAACTTGATGCAGCTCAAGAAGCTCAATACAGCTCTCTTCCCTGTTCGCTATAACGAAAAGTACTACGCCGATGTCCTTGCCTCCGGCGAGTTCACAAAGCTAGGTCTCATACTTCTTCCATTGACTTCATCATGCTTTATCTTCATCTCTTCTCTGTTCTTTTGGTTTGCTCGTTATGCCTTCTCTGTTTCTATCTTCAAGCGTTTTTGTCATGTTCGTTATTATTCTGTCTTGTGTGCTTTGCTGCTTGTGATTCTGCCGATGAGCGTTTTGGATTTAGCTGCTTGTTATTTAGGAAGAGTGAAGAATGTTCGTGGGGTTTCTGCTTTGAGTTATGTGGTTTTAGTTCGACTATTTGGTGGTTTTTGGAATCTTAAACTGTTTGAACTGTTGATTTGGCCTTTTCTTTCCCTTTGGATGCTCTTTGAGACGTTATATGCAGTGTACGATTTTGAGTTTCTATTCATCAGCATTGCTAGCTTGCAAACTTCAAAACCCAGGTTAGTGTTCGTTAGAAAAAAAAAAAAAAAAAAAAAAAA